AAACATGGAAAGGAGTGAGACGCAGCAATGAGCAGCGAGCTGGGGATCGATAGCCCAGGAGTATCGATGTCCCAGTGGGAACACAGGAAATATCGGCGCGGGAGATTTAAAGTTGCTACGAGGAGGATGACCCCCGCTGTAGAAACTCAAGGGAGTTAAGAGCGTCGAGGGAGCATCGAGGGAGCAACGAGGGAGCGCCGCGGGAATCACAAGGACTCAAAGGCTAGGATAAGCAAGGAAACGCCGGAGAGTAGGAACCAGTCTTAAATGTTTCCCGAAGTAAGGGGGGAATGTGAGGAGTTGAATAACTCCCCACAAATAGAAGCAGCAGCAGATGGCCGGTCGCTTACCAGATACGCGGCGAATTCGCGTAGTAACGGCGCGGCGGGGAGAACGAGAGAGTTTGGAGACCAAGGGTGGAGATCGAGAGAGTTTGGAGACCAACGAAGGAGAGCGAGAGAGTTTGGAGACCAATGAAGGAGAGCGAGAGAGATTGGAGACCAAGGATGGAGAGCGAGAGAGTTTGGAGACCAATGAAGGAGAGCGAGAGAGATTGGAGACCAAGGATGGAGATCGAGAGAGAATGGAGACTTCGCGGGCAGAGCAAGAGTGCCGTACGCAGAAGGGGATAACGGAACTCCACTGGACTTTGGACTCTCCCGTGAACTTTGGACCGGGAGAGGAAGTGCCACATCTCGGCAGTGGAGCGGCACACAGGCGTGCCACAAGCGGCACGGGAATCAGCGGAACGGCAGCACTGGGCGGAACATCTATTGGAAGCGGTACATAAAGGACAAGTGGGTCATCCAGGAGGCATGAACTTTGGACCCAGAGTGGAGAGATCCAGCGGGCCGTGCGCGAAAGGGAAATAACGGTGCTTGGAGGCCCTATATAAGGCCGCAGAGCGCTGGCAGCTGGATCAGTCGATCAAGAGGAGTCAAGCCTTCAAGATCAGTCAAAGTACCAAGTGAGCAATCAGTCAAGCAAGTAATCTACGAGGGAGCTACAACCAAGCGAGTCGTCGGAAGCAGCGCCGTGGGAAGCATAGAAGGAGCAAGATCGCCACGTCGAGACGTTCGGGATTAGGACATCAGGAATCTCCGAATTGAGACACAGGTGGCTGAGTTCTGAAAGGCATCACGCGGCTAAGTCAAGGCGTTTGTTTTCTAACTTTGTCACGACCACACCCTGGCGAGTCGCCCGGCGGGTCTGTCAGAGACAAGCATAAGAGTCCTACGACGAAGAGCCGTCAGCTTGGGGAGGAAAGTTGTCTGCGACCCAGCGTACCTTGCCCGACCAAGCAGGACCTGGCGTGACGGACGAGCGGTAGATCGATTTGTGGTTTCGAAAGGCGTCAGCCTGGAGAGCCCTGCGATTACCGGCGAAGTTCCCGAGCAGCGACCGCACAGCTCCCCGAGCGCCAGAACAACGAGATACTAGCCAGAAGACAGCGCAGAGGACATCGACAGCGACGCCAGCAGACATTTCCGGCAGCCACGTTACCATCGCCGCGCGGAGCTATTGGGGAGCGCAGGAGCGTCGCGGACGTCACGCATTAGGGTGAAGCCGGGTGGAACGTTCGTCTGCGCTAGGCGTAAAGCGAAGTGAACCGCTAGGCAGTCTTGACTGTCAGCGCGAACTGAGCAAGAACCTAGCGGGACCGTCCGGGACAGAGCAAGGGACAGTATTGCCTCGAAAGGCGTCAGCCTGGAGAGCAAGGCTTGTTCACCCTAGTCTGAGAACGGTGACGCTTCCCTAAGCCCACAAGGCCGAATTCTCTGCGGGTCTAAGGCGCAACAAGCGACCCCGAGGCAACGCGTCGGCAAGCAAGCAGAGGCGGCCACTACGAGCGTCCCGAGACCCAGGATCCAGAGGAGGACGAGTCAACGCGTCGAGAAGCCAGAAGGAGGAGCACCAGCAGCCGGCGGAACCAGAACAAGGAGATACAGAAGCCAGCATAGCCACACACCCGCTGTACCAATACCACGAGAATAAATCCACTGTTACCATTTGAACACTTTGTTTTCTCACTGATCTACGGGCAATCACGTCATATAAATTTGGTGGGACGAACACACAATCTTCTGAGCTAGCCGCACGAATCTCGTAGCGAGCAGACATACAAAATCAGTTCGTTACAGTGCTTAATATCGAACTCTAACATAAAATCGTCAAATTCCTTGGAAGTGAAACAGCTACCTCTATCTGAAATAATGCACTTGGGCTTGCTGTATGCTCTAAAATAATCCTTGAGTGCTATGATAACTTCTCGGGTATTTGTTGTCTTTGTGGTATATAAACGTACAAACTTGGTAAAACCGTCAACGACGACAAATATATGTTTCTTTGATCATCCTAAATCAACTGGACCATAATGGTCAATGTGGATAAGTTCAAAGGGCTTACTACCTTTTGGAATTGAATGTAAAAATCCTTCTTTACCTGTATTAGGGGAAAATTCTACACATTTTAGGCAGTTATTTATATGGCTCATACACTTCTCCTTGGCGTTTGGAAACCAATAACTTTTTGCAATAATATCTAACATTTTGTCTCTCCCTATGTGACCGATTTCATTGTGGTATTTGAAGAGTATATGCTCTTCCATATCAATAGGTACATAAAATAACAATCTTTCATCGTTACTTTTTCTATAGACTATTCCGTTTCTCATTTCGAACAATTTATGCTCATGTTCCTCTAACTGTTTCTTTATCTTCTGAACTTTTGGGTCCTTGGCTTGGCAAATAACCAGGTTGTCTTCGAATGAATTTGTTTCTACTATTAAAATGTTTGTACACCTGCTAAGGGCGTCAACGTGTTGCATTCTGTTTCCTTCCCTATGTATTAGATCGTAGTCATAATTTTGCAGCTCTAATTTTATTAAGTGTTAACGTGAGAGAGTTACAGTCAGTTATAATGTTGAAATGCCTACCAAATAAATATATCCTAAATCTACGCAATGCGTGAATAATGGCCATGGTTTCAAGCTCAAAACTATGGTATTTCGATTCAGCAATGCTGGTGCGTTTGGAAAAATAAAAAATGGGGTGCAATTTTCCATCTTCTTTCTTTTGGAGTAGTACGGCTCCGAAACCAAGAGCGCTGGCATCGCAATGTAGCTCTACTTCGTCTTTGTGGTTATATAAGGCTAGCACTGGCGCTTCAACTAACTTATTTTTAAGCATCATAAAGCAGCTCATTTCCTTTTCTCCAAAATGGAATTTCTCGTCTTTTCTCAAGAGATCATATAAAGGTTTGGCTAGAGTCGAAAAATCTTTAATGAATCTACGGAAATAAGAACATAAGCCCAAAAAACTTTGGATATGTTGCGTTTTGTCTGGTATCGGAAAATTTTGAATTGCCTCTATTCCTTTATCATCAGCTCTGATGCCCTCGCCGTTTATAATGAAACCCAAATGTTTAATGCTTTGTTGCAGGAACTCACATTTATCCATACGTAGCTCCAACTTATTCTTTGCTAATCTGTGAAACACCTCCTTTAAAATCTGAAAATGTTCATTAACATCTTTGCTAGCGATCATAATGTCGTCCATGTACACAATTACTTGATCCTTTCTAATAAGATCATCGAAGATTTTATTTATAAATCTTTGAAAAACTGCTGAAGCCGTTTTCAGTCCCATTGGCATTCTAAGAAATTCAAATTGGCCTAACGGTGTTGCAAAAGAAGTATACTTAATTGATTCTTTATTGACAAAAACGTGAAAGTAACCGTTTTTTAGATCAAGTTTTGAAAATACTTTTTTACTAGCTAACTTGTCTAACAGGTCATCGATAAGCGGTATAGGGTAATTGTCTTTAATTAAAACCCTGTTGAGTTTTCTAAAATCTATGCAAAGTCGTATGTCCCCGGTTTTTTTCTTCACTAAAACTATGGGAGAAGCAAATTCAGACTGGCTTGGCTGAATGATCCCGTTCTCTAAATAATCGTCCAAAAGTTTTTGCAGTTTTTCTTTTTCCGCGTAGGCAAGCCGCCGCGGAGCACAGCTAAACGGTTTCGAGCTTTCTAAATTAAGTTTTATCTCACTTTTAATAAACGGTTCCTTTGGTTTCTCTACCCTAATGTAATTGTATTCAATTATCTTCTTTAATTGAGGTAGAAGATCTTGGTTATCAATTGTACCGCATATGTAATCAGTGTCTTCGTCATCCATATAGTTTATGCTAAGCATTTCACGAATCGTTTTAGACATATTGCTTTCATTTTTGTTATTGACTATACCGCCCTCACTAACTTCGTCGATGGACGGACCGGTTGCCTTACTGACTATAGGGTCGTCTTTATTCCTGATCGAAACTCTTATTGCTCCACAATCTCTAAAACTAACTGTTTCAGTACCTGTACTACCACTTTTTTGTATAACTGTATCATCAACTTCTTCGCTAAATGAATCAATTATTGAATTACTAATTGTATTACCAATTGTTTTTCTAACTGTATCTTTTACTGTTTCTTTAACTTTATCATTAATTGGTTTGCTAACTGTATCACTAACTGTTTCCCTAACTGTTTCCCTAACTGTATCACTAACTGTTTCACTAACTGTTTCACTAACTGTATCACTAACTGTTTCACTAACTGTATCACTAACTGTTTCACTAACTGTTTCACTAACAGTTTCTCCAACTGTATCACTAACTGTTTCTCTAACTGTATCACTAACTGTTTCCTTCAGAATTTCGATAGCACTTTCCGGCTCCTTGCTAGCATCTAAATTATGCGTTAATTTGAATTCCCAGGCATTGCATACTCTTTCATTACAATCGGCATTCGTAGGCTCAATTGTGATCATTTTTAAGGCGCTTAAATCTAATTCTAAATCGCAAGCATCCATAAAATTCCTCCCAAGAACAACCTCATGGCTCATAGACTCATTGGGCACAATATAAAGGTAAAAATAACATTTCGATCGATTTTTAATTATGTAACAAAGTATTCTTCCATAAATTTTCAGTTGGTTTTTATTCAGCCCAAAGTAGTTTTCAGAGACGGACTCCATCTTAATTTTAGAGGAAATAACAGCTGTTTTGGCGAATGATATTGGGCTGCCAGTGTCTATGAGGCATGCTGCAATTAATGGGGTTTTAGGACTGTTGTAAAAAAATATTTGTATAAATCTTACGTATTTATTTGCATTTGCGCTTTTACGCTCAGGGCACTGACCCACAAAGTGTCCAAATTTGCCACATGCGTAGCATGATCCGGGCTCTCGTTTCGGTTTCTGACAGTCCTTGGCGTAGTGGCCCTTTGAGTTGCAATTGGCGCAACGGAAGTCCTTTGTGTCTGCAATCTTTCCGGAAGAGTGCTGCGAAGAATTGACCTCCTGCTTTCGTTCAGGTAAACGGATTGCAGAGAAGGCTTTCAAAATCTGCCCAGGTTCGGCGAAACATTGTATGCGAGCTTGGTCGCGTAGCCCTGGTGCTGGAATTCCTTCGATGATGTTTTCGAGGAGCTCCTCCTTGTCGATGTTTATATCGTTGGCCAGCATAACTTTCTCCTCGAAATAAGAAGCGAACCTTTCTCCTGAACGCCACTGACGATTTTGGAACGCGTTCCTCAGCTCCCCCTTTGACATCTTAGTTGCAAATGCTAGGATCAGCTGCTCACAAAGGTGGTCGGTTGGCTCCAAAATGCGTGTTGCGTTTGCGTGCAGCCAAACTTGGGCTTTTCCTTTTAGTTTGGCAATAAGAAGCATGCGCACACCAAACGAGTCCAAGTTGTACACCTGCGCAATGTTTTGCAGCTGTGTGACCCAGTTACGGGCACACGAGTTGCCGTCGTAGTCCATCGTTACTTCCTTTGCCAATGCGAGTGTTGTTGCGGGAGATTGTAACAATTTGTTTACATTTGCAAACTGGCATTGATCAGCACTGTCTGTGGCGTGCTTTCCAACACTAGAGTTATCGATATCAAAGTTATCCCTGGCGCTGTTAACCCTGGGGCTGTTAGCGTTAACAGCGTCAATGCAAGCGAAACTGTTAGGGTTGCCAGAAGTTTCGATGTTGCATTCGATGACGTCATGGACTTCCTGAGCATGATTTGGCTTGTCCCTGGTGACGTCAGCGATCTCCGCCTGAAGCTGTTGCAATATGGCCTTGTTTGCGGCGATTTCGTCGAGAATTTTCTGCAGCTTCACCCTTTCGACATCTACCAGAGAAACGTTCTCCGTGCGTATATCGTCCACTGCCTGTGACGTCATCGTACCAGAGTCGAACAGAGCTTCCTGTGCGCCTTCCAAATGTTGTTGCAGCGGCAATGATGCGGCTCCCTCTAATTCGGTTTCTAGCGGCTGCTGGCTGTTGAATGAGGCTCCATTTGGTGGATCACCACGAGCTTCTGATGATAGGGTCTGCAGACGCGCCATCAATTCTGCTTTCGAGCCTGAGGTTTGCAGCCCGAGCACATTTAGCCAGTTTTTTAACTGAACGACCGTGAATTGATTTAAATCTATGTCAGGCATTTTGAGTAAGAACCACTTCTGCTATTGTAATAGGCAATAAATGTACTCCGGCGATAGCTTTAGTTTTAACTCTTTATTTCTTAATTTCACAACCGCTTCCTTCGAACGTATAACACAGAGTGTCGCAACGATTCTCCCTCTTCCTACTTCTCGCTCATCCGTGTGAGCGAGGCAGGTATACGTATCTGCGATCTCCTATGCTGCAGTACTTGGTAGAAAGGGATGACAATATAACGTTTACAGTTAACTTAAACTAGGTTTCCCGCTTATTCTATAGTACAGTGGGTGTCGTGTTAATATATTACATCATTTGTCGTACAGTGGGCCATGTCAGTATATGTCCTACTACAAATATGACCGTTTTTATGTCATTGATTTTTATTTTGCGAAGGTTTACAGAAATGGGCCTCCTTTCCATCTTTAAAAGCCCATTACTTGGTCAAATGAACTCGGAATTCGATATGGCACATATTTATGGGCTTTTGGAATGATTATGTTCTTATCTGCATTAATATATACAACTTTGAAGGTAATAAAAAATATGACCGTTTTTATGTCATTGATTTTTATTTTGCGAAGGTTTACTGAAATGGGCCTCCTTTCCATCTTTAAAAGCCCATAACTTGGTCAAATGATCTCGGATTTCGATATGGCATAGCTTTATGGGCTTGTGGAATGATTATGTTGTTATCTGCATTAATAAATATAACTTTAAAGGTAGTACAAAACATGACCGTTTTTATGTCGTTGATTTTACTTTTGCTAAGGTTTACTGAAATGGGCCTCCTTTCCATTTTAAAAGCCCATAATTTGGTCAAATGAACTCGGAATTCGATATGGCATACCTTTATGGGCTTGTGAAATGATTATGGTGTTATCTGCATTAAAATATATAACTTTAAAGGTAGTAAAAAATATGACCGTTGTAACGAACTGATTTTTGTATGTCTGCTCGCTACGAGATTCGTGCGGCTAGCTCAGAAGATTGTGCGTTCGTCCCACCAAATTTATATGACGTGATTGCCCGTAGATCAGTGAGAAAACAAAGTGTTCAAAGGGTAACAGTGGGATTTATTCTCGTGGTATTGGTACAGCGGGTGTGTGGCTATGCTGGTTTCTGTGTCTCCTTGTTCTGGTTCCGCCAGCTGCTGGTGCTCCTCCTTCTGGCTTCTCGACGCGTTGACTCGTCCTCCTCTGGATCCTGGGTCTCGGGACGCTCGTAGTGGCCGCCTCTGCTTGCTTGCCGACGCGTTGCCTCGGGGTCGCTTGTTGCGCCTTAGACCCGCAGAGAATTCGGCCTTGTGGGCTTAGGGAAGCGTCACCGTTCTCAGACTAGGGTGAACAAGCCTTGCTCTCCAGGCTGACGCCTTTCGAGGCAATACTGTCCCTTGCTCTGTCCCGGACGGTCCCGCTAGGTTCTTGCTCAGTTCGCGCTGACAGTCAAGACTGCCTAGCGGTTCACTTCGCTTTACGCCTAGCGCAGACGAACGTTCCACCCGGCTTCACCCTAATGCGTGACGTCCGCGACGCTCCTGCGCTCCCCAATGAGCTCCGCGCGGCGATGCTAACGTGGCTGCCGGAAATGTCTGCTGGCGTCGCTGTCGATGTCCTCTGCGCTGTCTTCTGGCTAGTATCTCGTTGTTCTGGCGCTCGGGGAGCTGTGCGGTCGCTGCTCGGGAACTTCGCCGGTAATCGCAGGGCTCTCCAGGCTGACGCCTTTCGAAACCACAAATCGATCTACCGCTCGTCCGTCACGCCAGGTCCTGCTTGGTCGGGCAAGGTACGCTGGGTCGCAGACAACTTTCCTCCCCAAGCTGACGGCTCTTCGTCGTAGGACTCTTTTGCTTGTCTCTGACAGACCCGCCGGGCGACTCGCCAGGGTGTGGTCGTGACAAAGTTAGAAAACAAACGCCTTGACTTAGCCGCGTGATGCCTTTCAGAACTCAGCCACCTGTGTCTCAATTCGGAGATTCCTGATGTCCTAATCCCGAACGTCTCGACGTGGCGATCTTGCTCCTTCTATGCTTCCCACGGCGCTGCTTCCGACGACTCGCTTGGTTGTAGCTCCCTCGTAGATTACTTGCTTGACTGATTGCTCACTTGGTACTTTGACTGATCTTGAAGGCTTGACTCCTCTTGATCGACTGATCCAGCTGCCAGCGCTCTGCGGCCTTATATAGGGCCTCCAAGCACCGTTATTTCCCTTTCGCGCACGGCCCGCTGGATCTCTCCACTCTGGGTCCAAAGTTCATGCCTCCTGGATGACCCACTTGTCCTTTATGTACCGCTTCCAATAGATGTTCCGCCCAGTGCTGCCGTTCCGCTGATTCCCGTGCCGCTTGTGGCACGCCTGTGTGCCGCTCCACTGCCGAGATGTGGCACTTCCTCTCCCGGTCCAAAGTTCACGGGAGAGTCCAAAGTCCAGTGGAGTTCCGTTATCCCCTTCTGCGTACGGCACTCTTGCTCTGCCCGCGAAGTCTCCATTCTCTCTCGATCTCCATCCTTGGTCTCCAATCTCTCTCGCTCTCCTTCATTGGTCTCCAAACTCTCTCGCTCTCCATCCTTGGTCTCCAATCTCTCTCGCTCTCCTTCATTGGTCTCCAAACTCTCTCGCTCTCCTTCGTTGGTCTCCAAACTCTCTCGATCTCCACCCTTGGTCTCCAAACTCTCTCGTTCTCCCCGCCGCGCCGTTACTACGCGAATTCGCCGCGTATCTGGTAAGCGACCGGCCATCTGCTGCTGCTTCTATTTGTGGGGAGTTATTCAACTCCTCACATTCCCCCCTTACTTCGGGAAACATTTAAGACTGGTTCCTACTCTCCGGCGTTTCCTTGCTTATCCTAGCCTTTGAGTCCTTGTGATTCCCGCGGCGCTCCCTCGTTGCTCCCTCGATGCTCCCTCGACGCTCTTAACTCCCTTGAGTTTCTACAGCGGGGGTCATCCTCCTCGTAGCAACTTTAAATCTCCCGCGCCGATATTTCCTGTGTTCCCACTGGGACATCGATACTCCTGGGCTATCGATCCCCAGCTCGCTGCTCATTGCTGCGTCTCACTCCTTTCCATGTTTCCTCCGCCTGGTCACACCATTCGTGCGTGATCGATATTTATTCGCATATCGATACCGACGGTGCGGCGTTGCCACCTGCTCGTTTGCGATATTTCCACCTTGGCCGATATTTCCATTGTCGTGTGCCCATCGATCGCACTATCGTCCAGTGCCAATCGATCGCCTATCGAGGCGCCCCCTTCCCTGGCTCGTGGTGATTTTGCAACTTTCATACTATGAAATTCATAGGTAAGTTTCTTTTGCATTTCCTTCACTCCTTTCTCATCCTTTCGTCCTCTCTCGCCCTTCACTCGTCCTCTGTTGGCAGAATCTGACTCCACATCGGCAGCTTTTGAGAGCGGTTGCGGAGAGGACTTCGCATCCGCTTCGCAACCAGGACAGCCCGTAAGTATTTATGATGTCTTTCTGCTTCCTGCATTAAGCCCCCTTTAAATTTCAGGTTGCTGGTGCGGCCCATGCATGCCCCGTTCCTTTTCTTGTTTTTAGTCGACTGTTGGTGTGGTGCGTGTTTCTGTTTTTTTTTTTTTTTGTGACCAGCTGGCTACGGTGTAGATCTGATTCTGCACCGTCCTCCCCTTTTCTTCGGGTAACAACTAGACGAGCTCGTCCGGCGCATTCCGTATAGAATCTCCGGATGCTGCGGTGTATGTCTGGACTGCGCGTCTTGTGTTGCTTGTCTCCTTCCGCGCATACTCTCTTCTACGTTACCCGTATCCTTGTGCCGTTTTGTAAGTGTCCCTTCCGCCTGGCGTTATCGCGGATGACTCTGGCAACTGCCCGACGCTGAATCCTGTTGCCTTGCGGTCGGGATCACCATCCATCCCTATCCACGTCCTTGTGCCCTACCCTTATGGTTGACCTTTCTGCGTGGCGTGTGGATGACTCTCGCTTCGGCCTGACGCCTAATCCTTTGGCCTCGCAGTCTGGATCAACGTGTGATCCTTATCCATGTCCTTGTTCTATCCCGATTGTCCTTTCCGTGTGGCGTATGGATGACTCTCGCTTCGGCCTGACGCCTAATCCTGCCGCCTCGTACCCGTTGTTAGACATCTGATGTTTCTGCTGTCTGCTCGTTTACTTGTTGCTTGAGCTCGCCAACGTGAACTGTCTTTTCTTTCTTCGACTGTGTGTGGCGAATTTTGCAGATCACTGGAGAGACGAAATCTACAACCTGGTAAGGGCCATCGTACCTCGGGGCTAGTTTTGCGGCGAATCCTTCGGCCGCTTTGGACAGGTGATGTTCCTTGGCCCACACTATGTCGCCCACCGCTGGTGACCATTGCCTCCTTCTCAGATTGTAGTGTCTGGCTTGGTCCTGG